ATCTATTTTTGTTTATTTCACAATAGTTCAGCAGATAAACACACATATATATACACACACACACACACATATAAACTTAAAAACAAAAATGTGAAATTTTGCCTTGGCAACTAACTGAATTAATAGAAATACTAAAATTACTAAAACTAAAACTGAAATAAAATCAAAGCTAAGGAGAAATCTACAAAAACTAATTAAAAAAAAAAAAGACAAAAGAGCAGAAAAACTTAAGTGAAAATTAGACATTTTGCCTTGGCAAGTAACTAAACTAAAATAAGTTTAAGTTAAAATACCAAAATGACTAAAACTGAAATAAAAATAAGAGCAGAAATAAACTAAATAAAACTCAGTATTAGATGAAAAACCAAGTAAAAATGAAAAAATTTTGCTTTGGCAACTAAGTGAACTAAAAGAAGTTCTAAAGTTACTAAAACTAAATACAAAAATTATCAATGCTACAAACAAACGATTTTAATACAGCTAAATTCTTTCCTGTCTTCAATGCAAACTCAAATCAAGTGTGTCTCACTTTCGCGTTCTCCTCCTGCCACTTGCTCTTGGTCTCATCCAGTGTGCTCTCCAGTTTGGCTCTCTGCTGCTCCATCTCACCGAGTCGCTCCTGAGCGTCCCATTTCTGGTGCTCCAACTCCTGAAGGCCCACGTTTTCATGCTCCAGGTCTCTCTGCACCTCCTGCACACAATCAGTATTTCAATTAAGTAAATTTGGACTTTTAAAGACACTTTTACAGTCTCGAGCCTCCTTTTTACTTTAAATGCATGGAAAAGAGCAGCGTGAACATTTCATGTTGTGCATCTCATGCTTCATGCTCTCTTTCTTCTCACATAATTTAATTAACTCAAATCGGTGTTTCATTTCCATGTACTTGTTTGGCTCTATAACAAGTGGGACAAAGTACAGAGCCGCCTCACCTGCACTTCACTGTTCCTCTGTCGCAGGGCTTCCTCTTTCTGCCTGATTTCTGTGTCCAATATGCGTTTCTCACTATGCACCAAAAATCAGATCAATCAAAAATGTAAAATGAGTAAAAAGCAAAAAGAGCAAAATAAGTAACTAGAGAAATGCCAGATGGAAGGTTATGTGTAGCGTATAATTCTCCATCCATAAACTCTCTGACCTCTGCAGCTGGGAGATTTCCTGGTTGATGTCATCGAGATCCTTGATTCCCATCGCCTCAACCAACCCAACAGAACTGCTGCTGTCCTGGAAAAATAATGTTATGTAAGAGACAGTCATACTCTGTCATCTACGTACAGTAGAGGTATATAATTATGCAGTACACAGAGATGAGCACTAGGTGGCTTCTCATCGCCGGAACATAAAGACACAGACTTCAGGCAACATAATATCAAAACGGACTATTTACATTCTTACATTCCTATTGTAAATAATTTTTAAAGAGAATAAATATTTATTCATCTTCAGAAACTACAAAAAAAGGACAGAAACAAAGCAAAAACGCACCTGATACACATTCTTTATTTATCATTTCATTGATGTAGAGTTTAAAAATATTGTGAATTTTATGCAGAAATGGTGTATGCAGAAATTATTCTGAGCAGTTATTTTAGTATTTTTTATAAATTATTAGTTTTTAATAATATTTTGAATTAGACAATTTATTTACATTTTAATTTATTTGTATACTTTCAGTTTTCATTTTAGCTTTTTTTTTCATTTTTAGTAATTTTGTTTTGTGCTTGTCATTTACATGAACATTATTATTATTATTATTATTATTATTATTAATATTACTATTTATGTTTAATCCATTTTTATTTGAATTTTAGTTTTCATTATATTTCCAGTTAGTAATTTTGGTGCTTGAACTAAACTAAGATTTGAGTTGTTGATCTAAACTAAAATTACGTTTTCATCTAATGCTTTCTCATCGCTTGAACATAAAGAGACAGACTTCAGGCAAAATAAAATCAAAACTTCTTACATTCTCATTGTAAATTATTTTTTAAGAAAATAAATATGTTTTCATAATTTTTCATTAAAATGTATTAATTTTCTCCTTGTATCCATTTTATTTTCAAGGTTTCTACATATTTTCCATTTCAAACTTCTATACTTTTCTAGAGTGCTTGAAGAAAAAATGCAACACTCACACTCAAAAATAAGCTTCATTGGCTAAATGTTTTGAAACTTTTTACTTGTCTTTAAACTTTGTTGTTTAAAAAGTTTATTTTTATAGATATGAGTGTTATACCTTTTCTTCAAACAAGACGAGCCTTTGATTTTTGGTTGCACCTCCTCTTCGGTTGGTTAAGCAGCCTTTCATTAACTTTTATTGTGGACTTTTCTAGACTCATATTTTCAGACTTCTCTGTTAATTTTTCAAACCAAACAGTATGTAACATCTGATAAGTGGTTTTAAAAACCAACTGTTAACATGTATGTTACATTCTGACTATGTATGTTAATATGTTGCCACATAATTGCCGGAATATTGTAGCTAGGTATTGTAGTTCATTCATATGAATTAACACAGCTAAACGCAGACAAGTTCAATGTACAGCATTTCATTAAAACGGAAATGCAGTGTTGATATTCTCTCACGTTTTCAATGATTACACACATTTTAAATATTTTCAATTCATATTACAAGTTTTAAAAATAAGGTTGTCACTGATTGCATTTATTTAGAAAATCTTATTTCCGCTCAATGCAGCAGAGGACACGCGTCACAGATGTGTCAGAACCACTTACTCTGCTCAGACTGGTCAACGGGGTCAATTCAGACAAGGCTGATGGTGTGAATCCAGAGAGAATCTGGAGAAGAAAAAACAGAGAACGGCAGACTGACAAATCAGAGATATCAGACATGTTCATGTGCGTTCAACTATAAATACGATCGAAATGCACATGACTTCTTGTCACACATAACAAGCCTTCATTATAGTAATACCAGTAAATTAAGCATCATTTCATGCGACTAACCCCTAATCCTAAACTTAAGTACATGTTTATTACTATTACTGCATAATTACATTGTAACAAGAATACCTTAAAACAAAGATTAATAAACACTGTAACTCTAGTTGGTAACCAAACAGTTAACGGTAGCCATTGACTTCCATATTATGAAAAAAAAAAATCTATGGGAGTCAATGGGTACCGTCAACTGTTACCAAAATTCTTCAAAATATCTTCTTTTGTGTTCAACTGAACAAAGAAACTCCTACAGGTTTGGGACAACTTGATTTGGGTGAGCAAATGATGACTGAATTTAAATTTTAGGGTGAACTATCCTATTAGGGCTGCTCGATTATGTCAAAAATCATAATCACGATTATATTGGTCAATATTGTAATCGCGATTATTTAACACGATTATGACCAAAACTTTATATGAGTGATTTATTTAAAAACAGCAATATATATCAAATATATATATTGATCATAGATGGTTGCTATGACATCTACATTTAGAGACCAGCAAAATTTCACAATTCTCCACACCACAGCAGAATACTAGAGAAACTCATATTAGTAAAAAAAAAAAAAAAAAAAAGTTTTTTTTTTGCAAGTGTAAAATATTCAGCTAACAGCCTAGTACAGAAATTGAATGTAAAATAAAACAGCATAGTCTTCACTCTAAGAATTAAACTTTCTTTGTTTCTTATTAAAGCTACAAAAGTCCTTCTGTCAACAGCAGTGAGTGATTTTCTCTGTCTTTTGTTGTTT